CCCCCAAAATCCCCCCAAAAATCCATCGGGACCCCCCAAAATCCCCCGGGACCCCCCAAAAATCCCTTTTTGGGTTCCGTAGGATATTTTGGGGTTAATTTTTGGTATTTTGGGTGCTCTGGGCTCGCTCACTGCCCGGGGTTTTGGGATATTTAATGGGATTATTTTGAATTTAATGGGATTTTTCTGGTATTTAATGGGATTTTTTTTTAATTTAATGAGATTTTTTTTAATTTAATGTTTCTTTTTTTTTGTAATTTAATGTGATTTTTTTTTTTTAATTTAACGGGATTTTTTTTTGGTATTTAATGAGATTTTTTTTTAAATTTAATAGGATTTTTTTTAATTTAACGTGATTTTTTGGAGTGATTTGGTATTTTGTCTCTCACCGGCCGGGCTGTTGAGGTATTTTACCGGATTTTTTTTTGAATTTAATGTGATTTTTGGGCTGATCTGGTATTTTTGTCTCTCACCGGCTGAGATTTTGAGGTATTTTACCGGATTTTTTGGAATTTACTGTGATTTTTGGGGCTGATTTGGGTATTTTTGGTCTCACCGGCCGGGCTGTTGAGTTATTTTATGGGATTTTTTTGAATTTTCTCTGATTTTTGGGCTGATTTGGGTATTTTTGCTCTCACCAGCCGGGCTGTTGAGGTATTTTACCGGATTTTTTTGAATTTTCTCTGATTTTTTGGGCTGATTTGGTATTTTTGTCTCTCACCGGCCGGGCTGTTGAGGTATTTTATGGGATTTTTTTGAATTTTCTCTGATTTTTTGGGCTGATTTGGTATTTTTGCTCTCACCGGCCGGGCTGTTGAGGTATTTTACCGGATTTTTTTGAATTTTCTCTGATTTTTTGGGCTGATTTGGGTATTTTTGGCTCTCACCGGCCGGGCTGTTGAGGTATTTTACCGGATTTTTTTTTAATTTTCTCTGATTTTTTGGGCTGATTTGGGTATTTTTGCTCTCACCAGCCGGGCTGTTGAGGTATTTNTTGAGGTATTTTACCGGATTTTTTTTTAATTTTCTCTGATTTTTTGGGCTGATTTGGGTATTTTTGCTCTCACCAGCCGGGCTGTTGAGGTATTTCACCGGATTTTTTTGAATTTTCTCTGATTTTTTGGGCTGATTTGGGTATTTTGGTCTCACCGGCCGCGCCGGTGCTGACGGCGGCGCTGGGCGCGCTGGGCTCGCCGCGCCCGAGCGCGTTGACGGCCACGACGCGGAACCGGTAGCGGCCGTACGGCGACAGCGGCAGCGGCGCCCACGGCCGCGCCGCCGGCACCGTCAGCAGCTCCACGAAGCGGCCCGGCGAGAAGATGCCCTCCTCCTGCTCCACCACGAACTCTGCGGGGAAAAAAGGGTTAAAAAAGGGTTAGAAATAGGCAAAAATAGACAAAATCCCCCAAATCCCCTCCTCCTGCTCCACCACGAACTCTGCGGGGAAAAAAGGGTTAAAAAAGGGTTAGAAATGGACCAAAATAGCCAAAAATAGCCAAAATGCCCTCCTCCTGCTCCACTATGAACTCTGCGGGGAAAAAAGGGTTAAAAAAGGGTTAGAAATGGACCAAAATAGCCAAAAATAGCCAAAAAAATCCCCCAAATCCCCTCCTCCTGCTCCACCACGAACTCTGCGGGGAGGAAAGGGTTAAAAAAGGGTTAGAAATGGACCAAAAAATCAAAAAATATCCAAAATGCCCTCCTCCTGCTCCACCACGAACTCTGCGGGGAAAAAAGGGTTAAAAAGGGGTCAGAAATAGGCAAAAATAGCCAAAATCCCCCAAAATGCCCTCCTCCTGCTCCACCACGAACTCTGTGGGCAGGAAAGGGT